TGCTAAGGATCATTTTCGCTATTTGTTGTCTTTTACTCTTTCATATGAATTTTTGGATTGCCTCTTCTATTTCCTTGAAAAATGAGGTTGGAATATTGATTAGTATTGCATAGAATTTGTAGATCACTTTGGGATGTATTGCTGTTTTCACGATTGTGATCCATCCAGTCCAGAAACGTGGGAGGTTTATCCACTTTCTAAGTTCTGTTTTGATTTCCTTTTTCAGGTTTTTAAATTTTCATAATAGAGGTACTTCACTTCTTCGGTTAATTCCTAGATAATGTATTTTTGGTGGCGCTATTATGAATGGAGTTGCCTTCATGATTTCACCAACGCTTTCCTCATTGTGGTCATACAGAAAAGCCATTGATTATTGAGGGTTAATTTTATATCCTGCTGCTTTGCAACAGTTTTGAATCAGCTTCAGTAATTTGGGAGTGGAGTCATGGGATTCTTTAAATAGAAAATAATGTGGTCTGCAAAGAGGGAGAATTTTACTTCATCTTTCCCTATTTGGATCTCTTTTATGTTTTTTTTGGGGGGGGTCCAGTCATATGGCCTGAACAATGGGCCTGGGAACTGTCCCTCATCTCTTCAGCTCAAGGCTAGCCCTCTACCACTTGAGCCATTGTGCCACTGCCATCTTTTTTCTTTTTGCCTATGTGGTGCTGAGGAATCAAATACAGGGCCTCAAGAATGTTAGGCAATCACTGTACCACAAAGCCACCTTTCCAGCCTCTCCCTTTTATGTTTGCATCATGTCTTATTGTTGTAGATAGACATTCTAATACTAAATTTAAGAGAAGTGTAGTGAGTGGACATCCTTGTAATGTTCCTGAGTTAAGAGTAAATGGCTTTAGTTTTTCACCATTAATTATAATGCTGGCTGTAGGTTTGTCATATACAGCCTTTATTGTATTGAGGAATGTTCCCTGGATTCCTAATTTTTCCAGAACCTTCATCATAAAGGATTTGTTGGATTTGTCAAATGCTTATTCTGCATCTATTGAAATAACTATGTGGTTATCCTTGCCATTTGTTGATGTAATAAGTTATATTAATTGACTTGTGTATATTGATCAATATTTGCATCCCTGAAATGAATCCTGTTTGATCGTGGTGTATGATATTTTGGATGAATTTTTGATGTCAACTGCTCAAAATTTTGTTGAGAAGTTCTGCATCAATGGTCATCAAAGAAATGAGTCCATAGTTCTCTTTCTATGATGAGTCCCTGCCTGGTTTTTGGATGAGGGCTATGATGGCTTCAAAGAATGATTTTTGTAGTGAACTTTCTCTTACAATTTCATTGAAGAGTTGGAGGAATGTTGATGTGAGCTCTACTTTGAAGGCCATGTAGAATTCCGCTGTAAATCCATCTGGTCCTGGGCTTTTCTGAGATGGGAGGTCTCATTGCTGTTTCTATTTCAATGCTTAATATGGGCCAGTTAAAATGGTTTAACTCATCTTGGTTGATGTTTGGCATGTCAATAATTGCTAGGAAAAGATCTATTTCTGCCAAGTTCTCAAACTTATTAGCATAAAGGTTTGAGAAGTATTCCTTTTAATCTTCTGAATCTTGGTTTTTTCTGGGATGCTGTTTCCATTCTCATCTCTGAGTTTATTTATTTGCGTGTGTTCTCTTGTTTTTTTGATAAGATTTGCTAAGAATCTATAAATTTTGTTAATTTTTTGGAGAACAAACTCTTGTTTTGTTGATTCTTTCTATGTTTTTATTTTGGATTCTAATTCGTTTTTTTCTGATGTAATTTTAAGTATTTCTTTCCATCTACTGAATTGGGATTTATCTTGTTGCTCTTTTTCAAGGAGGTTCAGATATCTCACTAAATTGTTGGTTCCAGATCTCTCCAATTTATTGATTTAGTAATGAAGAGCTATAAAACACTCTGAATACTGCCTTTGCCGTGTCCAAGAGGAGCAAGTAATTTGTGTGTTCATTTTTATTTTTTGTTTTTTTTGGCTTTTTTTGTGTCCGGTCGTGGGGCCTGAACTCTGGGTCTGGGCGCTGTCCCTCAGCTCTTCAGCTCAAGGCTAGCGATCTACCACTTGAGCCATAGCCCCACTTCTGGCTTTTTTTTCTTTTTGCTTATGTGGTGCTGGGGAATCGAACCCAGGGCCTCACGCATGCAAGGCAAGCGCTCTACCACTGAGCCACCTTCCCAGCCCCTCATTTTTGGTGAATATCATGAATATTTGAATTTCCTTTCTATGCTCTTCCATGACCCACTGGTGTTTCAACAGTGTGTTGTTCAGCCTCTATTTGTCACAGGACTTTTTGGTGCATTTTGGTGTTGAGTTCTAATTTTATTCCCTTGTGGTCTGAGAGAAGGCAATTTAAAACTATAATGTTTCTGAATTTGGACAAGTTTGATTTGTGACCTGAAATGGTGTATATTTTGTAAAATTTTCTGTGAGCTGATGAGGAAAACATGTATCTGATGCTACTGCGTGAAATATTTGGTAGATATCTGTTAAATTTAATTGATCCATGCAGGTGTTTAGATCTGCAGTTTCTCTGTTGAGTTTTTGCCGAGTTAATCTATCTAGTGTGGATAGTGGTGTGTTAAAGTCCCCTACAATTAATGTCTTTGGATCTATGTGAGCTTTGAGGGAAAGTAGTGTTTCTTGGATAAATCTGGGTGGTCTTTCGTTTGTAGAATAAATATTTAGATTTGTAATATCCTCCTGAATGGGAAATCCCTTAATTAGTATAAAACGACATTCTTTATCTCTTTTCACTAATTTTAGTTTGAAGTATATTTTATCTGATATTAGGATAGAAGCTCTCACTTGTTTATGGGGACTATTTGCTTGGTAGATTTGTTACAGCCTTTCACTTTCAAAATGTGTTTGTTTTCATGGGAAAGGTGTGACTCCTGAAGGCAGCAGATAAAAGGATCTTGCTTTTTAATCCAACTAGCCTTTTTACGTGGCTTAATTGGAGAGTTAAGTCCATTAATGTTGAGAGTTAGGACTGAGAGGTGTTTGGGAGTTCCTGCCATGTTATCCACCTTCTGGGGGCTGCGGCAACTGGGTTCTTCCTATGGTTCTTGGATTCTCAGTTTGGGTGCTGTTTCTTGGCCTTTATTGTGATCTTGTTGGTTTTCTATTTGTAGGACATGCTTAAGTAGCTTTTGTAGGGCTACTTCTTGGGAGATATATTGTTTCAGATTGTCTTTGGTATGGAAGGTTTTTCTTTGACCTTCGATTATGAAGGAAAGTGTAGCTGGGTAGAGTATTCTTGATTGATAGTTGTTTGTCTTTAGGGCATGGCATACATCATTCCAGGCTCTTCTTGCTTTAATTCTCTCTGCTGACAAATCTGAGGGGACTCTAATTGATTTCCTCTTATAGGTGATTGATCTTTTCTACTTGACAGTTTTATGGATCTTTTCCTTGGTCTGAATTGATACTGTGCAGATTATAATGAGACATTGCCATGTCCTGTTCTGGTCTGGTATATTTTGGGTTCTAAAAGCTTCTTCTATCTGAATAATCCTAATTTTTTGCATGTTTGGGAAGTTCTCTGCTAGGATCCTGTAAAACAAATGTTCTCGACCATTAACTTCTGTTTCTAGGTGCTCCTTTACAAACATTATCCTCATATTAGACCTACTGATGGTGTCTTCCAAATGTTGAACAGATCTATCCCATATTCCTTGGATTTGTCTTGGATAGTAGTATGTTATTTCTCTATAATATCAAGGCTGTCTTTAATCTCCAAGATTCTATCTTCTGCATGGTTTAACCTACTGTCATGACTTTCTACTTTGTTTTTAATTTCTTTTCCTTCTAGTTGGTCGGCTTTAATGGCTTCAAATTCTTTGTTAGAGCTTTCTTTTAGATCTTTTATGAACTTCTATACTTCCTTAATTTGGTGTTCAGTATTTATTCTCAAATGACTTAGTTGATTGTTTATGGTTTCCTTTGTTGCCCATTCCCTCTGCCAGGCTCTATTCAGGATTCCATTTGTGGTCTCCCTGAATTCTTTCAGCTGTCTCTTTATAGATTCCATTAATGTCTCTCTTGATCTTTGTGTATTCTCATTCCGCTCTCACAATTGCTGTATTACTCTTTGATTAGCTTCCTCATGTTCATGCAATTCCTGAAGTTCTCTTTGACTGTTCTCAACCTGCTTACACAATACCTGTGTTTCTCTTTTTCTGTTATCCTCCTCCTCATGCAATTGCTGTGTTTCTCTTTGATTGTTGTCAGCCTGCTTATGCAATTCCTGTATTGCTCTTTGACTGTTCTAAATCTGCTCACGCATTTCCTGTACCAATCTTTGAGTAGTTTCTGCACTCTCACGAGATTCCAGTATTAATCTTTGGTTTGCCTCTCTCTCTCCTTATCATGCTCACACTGAGTCCTTTGCAGGTTTTCAATCTTTTCATTCACCATTTTTACCAGTATTGTTTGTACAGATTTTTGGGAACTGTCCTCTGGATTATTCACTAACTATTCTGTCAACTGTTTATCATGAGTGGGAGTCCAGATACCTGGGCTTGCCATTTTTCTTCTGTTTTTCTGGCTTTTTCTGCTCATTTGGTATGAAAGTAACACTAATTTTGTGCTAGAACATAATTTTAAGGCAAGCATCAACCAAAGTTTGGTAGTTGCACAGTCAAAAGGCTATAGACACAATCTAGTTCAACAGATACAATCTATTCAACATCAAACAACTATTGATTAATGGGCTAAGAATAGCAAAGAAAAAATTGGCAAACCAGAAATTATTAGATGTAGGGAGAAATGTGGGGAAAAATAGAATTATAGGGTGGTGGCGAGGTAAGATTAGAGTGAATTTAACCAAGGCCTAATCTCAGAGAGGGAAATGGATTGGACAGAATGATAGGAGAGACATTAAGAAAAAAAAACCCAGAAAATATAGAAAAACAAAAATTTAAATTTAAAAAGATAAATACTTGGTTCCCAGCCCGGAAGGCCCGCGGGTCAGAGCTGTGCGTTAACCCGGCTGGATGGAGGCGGAGGCGTTGGCCGCGTCCATGCCAGCCCCGGGCATCTCGACCGCCATGACTTTGGCCCTGGAGACGGCACGGTGGATGGAGGAAGCGATGCGCATGGCCAAAGACGCCCTCGAAAATACCGAAGTCCCTGTTGGCTGTCTTATGGTCTACAACAATGAAATCGTGGGGAAGGGAAGAAATGAAGTGAATCAAACCAAAAATGCTACTCGACATGCAGAAATGGTGGCCATTGATCAAGTCCTAGATTGGTGTCAACGAAATGGCCAGAGTCCTTCTGCTGTGTTTGAACGTACCGTGTTGTATGTCACTGTGGAACCCTGCATTATGTGTGCAGCTGCTCTCAGCCTGATGAAAATCCTGCTGGTCGTCTACGGCTGTCAGAATGAACTATTTGGTGGCTGTGGCTCCGTTCTAAATGTTGCCTCTGCTGACTTACCAAATATGGGAAAACCATTTCAGCGCATCCCTGGATATCAGGCTGAGGAAGCTGTGGAACTGTTAAAGGCCTTCTACAAGCAAGAAAATCCTAATGCACCAAAATCAAAAGTTCGGAAGAAGGAATTTCAGAAATCCTGAACTTGTAATGAAAGACGAAAGCCCCATGGTGACCTGGATGGAATCCCCAGCCTGAAAAGCTGCTGGCATGGAGGGAGCATATATTATGTGTTGTTTGTTATTCTCCGGGAAGACGGAGAATAACTTTTGCACTCTTAAGGGAACAAATTAGTGCTTTTTAAAAGGCTGACAATTGTAAACAACTTTTAGCTTCTTCACAGCTGAAAGAACATTTTTATGAAGGGGGGAAAAACTAAAGTTTGAGGTTTTAGGAATTAGCAAACAGTACATGTCTTTAAGCCACAGCTTCAATCCATTCCAGCTGAGTGCAGGCTGGGATTTCAGTGTCCATCCACACCCCATCACCTGCACTCATTTGGAATAGAAAGCCATGGTCACGTGTGTCCTTTACAACTGGCTTTTTGGAGGTGGAGTTGGATTTTCATTCTTTATAGCTGTTGTGGTCTCCCAGTGTATTGGCTGCGTGAGTGTGAGTGTGTTTGTGTGTGTGTTGGCTTTAGGGCTTGAACTCAACATGTTGTTACTCTCTGGCGTTTTTGCTCAAACTTGAGACACACCTCCAGTCCTAGCTTTATGTTGGTTAATTGCAGATGAGTCTCACGGACTTTTCCCCCCAGCCTGGCTTCAAACTGTGACCCTCAGATCTCAGCATTTTTTAGTCGCTAGGATTACAGGTGTTAGCCACCAGTGCTGGGCAAGTCTGGCTTTTTTCTACATTGTATATTATTTGTATACACTGTATACATGTGATTGTGAAATCTATTGATTTTATTAAATACATAGAAAAAATGTTTTTAAACAAGTGCCTAAGGGTCATTTAAAAATTGTACCATGTTGCTATAATAGAATCTTAAGATATTTCTGTTTTTAAGGGGCAAAGCATTAAAGGACAATAACATAAATAAGACAGTTCTTTGGTTCCCTGAACCAAAACAGGGTCTTCTGCCTCAGCAAGATTATATTCTCACAAGGATGGATGAAAAAAACGTAGTTATATACTGGAGGGTGAAGAGTTCCAACAACAGTTGGGCATAGTGATACACATCTGTAACCCCATCACTTGGAAGGCAGAGGGAGTTCAACAAGACACTGTCAAAGCAAAAAGTTACAGCGAAATTAAAAAGGAACAAGGTGAAGAAGAATGCCCACTTGTGTGAATGCCAGTTGCAAAATTAAGTAGCATGATACATTTAATCCGAAATCAGCTGTTCCTCATTTGAAAATACAGGTTATAACTGTTAAATTTAATACCTAAAATTTGAAACTGCACAGGAAAGAATATCCACAACAAAACTTTCGGTGTTACTGGGTGCAAGAAGTGTCCTGACGTTTGGCAGAGCTACCCCAGGTGCAGTATACGTCTCTTCCCAGAAGGGGGCCTCAACGTTCCACCAGAAGCCTAGTGCCAGGCCCCAGAGGACCGCTCCTCAGATGGGTTCATTTCTTCAGTGGATTCATTTCCTTGATACAAAGCATCTGTATTTGTTGCTTCTGCCATTTGAGCGATGTCTCCACCTTGTTTGTTTTGAATTACTTTACAGACTGGAATGAAATTGTGGTGGAAGTATTTTTATATTGCTGAGAATAGCAGCTAATCACAGTTACATGCTTCGAAGGACTTATAATTGCTTGGTTTTGCGTGGTGTTTTTAACGGCATTTGAGACATTTTATGAGGAAGGATATGCATGGTTTCAAATCTACAACATTGATGCATGCACCTTCAATTTTATCTACTCTAAAATTTGTCTTCTCATTAAATGTTAGTGCCATGAAAAAAAAAGATAAATACTTAAAAATTATGTAAGTTTATAGATGATATTGAGAGAAGAAAAGGATAGGATGAGAAGAAGGGAAGGATAGAAAGGAGACACGAAAAACACAAGACAACAATAAAACCCCAAGACTACACTATAGCTACCAGCACGACTATGTTTATTGCAGCATTATTTACCATAGCTAAAATAGGGAACCAACCCAGATGTCCCTCAGTAGATAAATGGATAAAGAAAATGTGGTATATATACACAATGGAATTCTATGCCTCCATCAGAAAGAAGGACATTGCCCCATTTGTTCAGAAAGGGAAAGACTTGGAAAAAATTATATTAAGTGAAGTAAGCCAGGCCCAAAGTAAAATAGGTCCCATGGTCTCCCTTATTTGCAACGACTAGTATATGTCTGAGTCAAGCAGAAAAGATCAGATAAATTAACGTTAGGGGAATGAACCCCAATATAAGTATTCAAAAGTTTTGTTTTCCTTTCATGCAATTGTTTCTATCATATTTATAAGATGATTTCTATGTTTCTTTGTATGTCCCTTCCCTACGGTATAACCAGTGCTTTCACTGTATTTGATGTTGGTATGATTTGTGGAGGGGAAGGTAAAAAAATCATTTAACTAGGGATACAGGTGGACCCATTGCAACAAAGAGATGTACAAGTCATTATGTCAACAAAAGAACTTTACAACGTTGGTGGGTGGTGGGGGGAAGTTCGGGTAGGAGGATGGTGGAGTATGGCAAGGGATAGAAGGGGAAACAAAGAGGAGGCAACAATTCTTGATAAGAAAGGTATTCGTTACCTTGCCCATGTAATTTTAACTCCTCTGTATGCATTCTCACAATTAAAAAAAAAAAAAAACAAGAAAAAATGGAAAAAACAAAAATTTAAATTTAAAAAATGAAACACTTAAAAATTATGTAAGTTTATAGATGATCTTGAGAGAAGAAAAGGATAGGATGAGAGAAAGGGAGGGATAGAAAGGAGATACGAAAAACTGAAAATTAAAAATTCTCAAAATTTGTTACTTAAAAATTATATAGGTATAAAGAGAAAATGCTGCTATTGAACAAGTTAAGCCAAGGAGGTGGCGGGGAAGATGGCAGAGGAGAAGCTGGAGGCTAAACAAGCTCTCCCATAGAAAGCAGTTTTAGAGTTCCAGTGAACAGTCCTAAGCCAGAGAATCACACCAAGTGTGCCATCACAGGACAGAGAGTTAGGCCAGCTAAGGAAAATCAAGGCAAATAGAGAGATCTGAGCTCTTGCCAGCAGCCGCCACAGATGCGACACAGTTTTTGCAGCCCCCAAGAAGGTGGATAACATGGCAGGAAATCCCAATTACCTCTCAGTCCTATCTCTTAACATTAACGGACTTAACTCTCCAATTAAGAGACACAGACTGTCTAATTGGATTAAAAAACAAGATCCTTCTATCTGCTGCCTTCAGGAGTCACATCTCCTGCCCATAAAAACAAACACATTTTCAATGTTAAAGGCTGGAGCAATATCTACCATGCAAACGGCCCCCATAAACAGGAGGGAGTTGCAATCCTAATATCAGATGAATTTGACTTCAAATTAAAATTCGTGAGAAGAGATAAAGAAGGTCGCTACATACTAATTAACGGATCTCTCCTTCAGGAGAATACAATACTAAATATCTATTCGCCAAACAATGGAGCACTCAAATTTATCCAAGAAACACTACTTTCCCTCAAATCCCACATAGATCCAAAGACATTAATTGTTGGAGATTTTAACACACCACTCTCCCCACTAGATAGATCAACTCGGCAAAAACTCAACAGAGAAACCGCAGATTTAAACAGCTGCATAGATCAACTAGATTTTACAGACATCTATCGAACATTTCACAAAGCAGCATCAGAATACACGTTTTTCTCAGTAGCACATGGAACATTTTCTAAAACAGACCACATTTCAGGCCACAAAGCAAAATTGTCTAAATTCAGAAACATTGAAGTTATATCTTGCATTCTCTCAGACCACAAGGGAATAAAATTAGAACTCAACACCAAAAGCCACCAAAGAAAGTCTGGTAGAACATGGAGACTGAACAACACACTGCTGAATCACGAGTGGGTCATTGAGATTAGAAAGGGAATTCAAATGTTCATGCTATTCAACAAAAATGAGCACACAAATTACCAGCTCCTCTGGGACACAGCCAAGGCAGTACTCAGAGGCAAGTTTATAGCTCTAAGCTCCTATATCAACAAATAGGAGAGATCTGAAACCAACAATTTAATGACACATCTAAACCTCCTTGAAAAAGAGCAGCAAGATAAGGCCCAATACAATAGACAGAGAGAAATAATTAAAATTGAATCAGAATTAAATGAATTAGAATCCTAAACAACTATAGAAACAAGCAACAAAACAAAGAGAAGGTTCTTCAAGAAAATTAAAAAAATTGACAGACTTTTAGCAAATCTCAGGAGAAAAAGAAGAGATCACACCCAAGTAAATAAACTCAGAGATGAGAATGGAAACATCACCTTAAGAAACAACCAAGATTCAGAACATTATAAGGGAATACTTCTCAAAACTTTATGCTAATAAGTTTGAGAACTTGGCAGAAATGCACCTTATCCTAGCAAATATTGACATGCCAAAACTAAACCAAGATGAGTTAAACCATCTTAACAGGCCCATATCAAGCATTGAAATACAAAGAGCAATAAGAGATCTCCCAGCTAAGAAAGTCCAAGACCAGATGGTTTTACAGCGGAATTTTACAAGGCCTTCAAAGCAGAGCTCACACCAATACTCCTCCAACTCTTCAATGAAATTGAAAGAGAAGTTCCCTACCGAAAACATTCTATGTAGCCATCATATCCCTCATCCCAAAATTAGGCAGGGACTCATCAAAGAAAGAGAACTATAGACCCATTTCTTTGATGAACATTGATGCAAAACTTCTCAACAAAATTTTGGCCAATCTACTTCAACAATTCACCCAAAAAATCATACAACACAATCAAACAGGATTCATTTCAGGGTGCAAACTGGTAAAATATATGCAAATCAATTAATATTATTCATCACATCAACAGGAGCAAGAATAAGAACCACATGGTTATTTCAATATATGAAGTAAAAGCATTCGACAAGATGCAACACCCCTTTATGATGAAGGTTCTGGAAAAATTAGGAATCCATGGAACATTCCTCAATACAATAAAGGCTGTATATGACA